AAGAAGAAGAAGAAGAAGAAGAAGAAGAAGAAGAAGAAGAAGAAGAAGAAGAAGAAGAAGAAGAAGAAGAAGAAGAAGAAGAAGAAGAAGAAGAAATCCCCTGAAGAAAGGACTCAGCTGGGGCTGAGTTCCCACTGTCATCCTGACTGTCCTATGAGGAGTGCACCCATGATGAGTTCACCCCGGCAGTCACAGGCATTTGGATGACAGCAGCCATCTGCTCGGAATAGAGCTGACCAGGTGTGCTCAGACAACCTGGGGCTGGATCCTGGAGCCAGCTGGTTAGAGGGTCTGGAGGTGACCTCGGGGGTACTCTGGGCCTGGGGAAAACTTTTCCCACCAAGAACATGGAGATGCAGAGAACTCTAGTCTTTCTGGGGTGAAGAATAAAATATTAATACAAGGAGAGAGAAAAGTAAATTCAAGAAAAGAAATGAACAAGGACAGAGATGGAAAGAATGGGTACCTTGGAGCCTCTTGCCTTTGGATGGTCCTAGATGTTTCTGACAATTTCTACTTATTTTACTGCACAAATGAGTCACAGTCTGACTCTTCTACTCACAACCAATCAACCCTTGCATCTTTTTAGTCTTGAGGTAAAAGTTCCAAGTGCCCAGATTTGGAAGAGCTGAAAGAGGATATTGGTCACGCCTTTTGGGACCCCACATCCTCTGCTGGGAATGACTTACCTCTCTGGTTTGCCTAGAAACAACAAAATAGGCCCAAAAATCAGTCATGGAGTAATTCTCCCTCCTTGCTGCCTGTATGGCTTTCTTCAGGCTCTCTCCAAAGTGCCACCTATTGTCCTCATATCGATGTTTCAGCTCCTCTTCCATCCCTTCCATATTCCCATTGTTGATGTAGAATGAAGACAATGCCCTGGGAGCAGAGAGAAGAAAAGGGCTGAGGATCAGAATAGTGACCCAAGAACTCCATTAAATCTGACTGTGTCTCTTATGTGACAAAACAGGGAAATAATGGTTATTCATAAAGGAAATTTGGTATGGCAAACAAGGACTCACACGGCCTCTGTGTGATTCTCCTATTTAACAGATAGGACAAGAGAGCAAGATAGAAGAAATACATCATGATTTAATATTAGCTCCCAGACCAGACTGCTACCCTGCCCATCATACAGACACAGCCAGGCATCTACTAAGAGCATGGTCTGTGAAGATCTAGTTAATGCCTTTCCAAGTACAAGGATCTCTAACCTGGGGAAGTGAGTTTACACTGAAGAGGGTACAGACAGACACACATCCTGCACCCCAGTTGCTTCCGTGATGGGGAACTGGAGAGACTGACTGCAGGATCATGCTGAAACCTCCCTCTGAGACCTATAAGAAGGAACCTGACTCTATCATATGAGTCCTGACTCCTTTTCAGGGTCCCCACCATGCTGTCTGTCTCATTGTTGGATCCTGAATACTGTTGTTACCTACGTGTTGATGGCATTCATAACTGGTGGTTTGACTGAGCATGTCCTTTGTAGATTCATGTATTTGAACTTGGTCCCCAGTGGCTGGCACTGTTTGTGGAGGTTTTGAAATCTTCAAGGGGTAGACACTTGCTGTGAAGTACATTACTGAAGGTGAGCTTTGAGAGTTCACAGCTTCACCCCACTTTCAGTTTATTCTCTCTGCTTTCTATTTCCATAGAAGATGTAATCTCTCAGCTTCCTGCTTCAGCTGCCTACTGCTACGCCTCTCTCACCACTACAGACTCTCCCTTTGAAACCATAAGCCCAAATAAACTCTTCCTTATATAGTTACTCTGGTCATCATGTTTTATCACAGCAACAGACAAGCAACTGATATAGTAACTTCTGATAAAGTTTTTAACCCCAACAATCCATCTCAGTGTCACCCTGAATCACACGTCTGGAACTGAATCCCAGTGTCCTACATATGACAGGCAGATAGTATTTTTTTTTTTCAGATGAAAAAAAGTATGTGACGGTTGATCATTGTCCTCATTTGGTTTCTATTGCTGTGATAAAATGCTGACCCAAACCAACATTCAGAGGAAAGAGTTTATTTGGCTTACAGGCCAAATTATAGTCCATCACTGAGGGAAGTCAAAGCAAGAACTCCAGCACGGCAGGAAATGATGAAGAGTCCACGGAGGAATGCTGGATCTCCATTCTTTCTCAGCCTGTTTTCTTATACGACCACCAGCCTAAGGGGGGCTGTAGCGTTTACCTAAATTGTAGTAGTGGAGGGACAATCAGCTGACCCTGCTCTCCACATTTTCCTGGTCCAAAAGTCCCAGAAGTCCCCCTCAGTCCCTCCTTCTCTCTTTCTGTCCCTCTCTCCCCCAACTTCCTCAGTCTTCAATGACTCTACGGCTAATCCCTGTTGGCCAATCGCTGACTCCGTCCCTGATTCAAGATGACTTTTTTGGCACAGCAGGGTGGCAGTGCAAACAAGTCTTCCCAAACAGTGGCACTGCCTGCAGCAGACTGGGCCCTCACCCATCAAACATTCCCATCAAACATTAATAAAACGCCCTCCCAGACATGTCTACAAGGCAACCCAGGGAGAAAATCCCTCAGTAGGTTGCCTCTTTCCAGGTGACTCTGGTTCACATTCAGTTGCCAAAGATACCAACCAGCACAATCACCTTCAAAATTCGCCATCAAAAGGAACAATAGGATCATTCTCAGTTTAGAGAGGCACAGAGAGGCTAAGTGCCTTCCTCAGCACCACACAGGTATTGAAAGGGAACTGGATTTATTTTCAGATAACCTACCGTCTTAGTGCTTTTTATTGTCTTTATCTGATCTTAGATGAACAAACTGAGAGCATGCCTAGATGGGGAAAGGTTTTGAAATGAGAACTCCTTACCAGTTCCTATAAGGAAATTTGATACTGCCTGGTTCAGTCAGTATTTTTTAAGATTTTTTAAAACTTGTATCTCTGTGTATGTGTGTATCTGCAGGAATATGCATGCACACACAAATGCAAGTGCTCATGGTGACACAATGAACCCTCATTTCCTCCAGTCACATTTGTCAAGTGCTTTTTAAATTTATTTTAGTGCATATATCTGTGTGTGTGTGCATGTGTATGCATCGATATGTACACATGTGTGTGAGGGTGCCCACAGAAGCCAGGAGAGAGTGTCATCCTTTGCAGCTAGAGTGATGGGTGTTGTGAGCCTCCTGAGGTGGGTGCTGGGACCCAGACTCCAGTTATCATGACTGAGCAGCAAGTGCTCTTAACCACTGAGCCATGTCTCCAACCCCATCTGTCAGGTATTTCTGACATAGCAATGATAAAAAGTCATTAATACAGCATGTGATTAACATAATTAGAAATTAGTTCTCCATTCCATTTAATTTTATTAATTTGAATTTAAACACTGCCATTCCATTCCATTAGTGGGAAGCTGAAACACATAAGAAATAAGCTTCTGTGACCGCCACATAGATGTGGTGGCACACATGTGCTCAATAAATAAAAACAATAGAAAATATTTAAAATAAAATGTGTATCAGTTTGCAAAGACTTGGTCTGACAAAAGGAATGTCAAGTAGCTGATTAATTGCATAATGAAATAAATACTCATGAAGGAGAGTCATTTTTCTTTTGGGTGAGGCCACTGGTAAGTCTCCTATATCCTACAGGATGATCCCACACCAATGTGCATATAGTAATACTAAATGGACTGAACCACAATTTTAAAAAATGGGGGGATATGAAGTTGGGAGGAAGCTGTGTTAGGAGGGCCTTGGGGGAGTAGGGAATTGATAGGATTAACATACACTATATATATAAATCTTTAAATACCTGAAAAAAAAAAACTACTGTTAAAAGAGGGAATGCACCACTACAATTAATGTCACTGTATCCTTTTACTTTTTAATGGGGCTTTTAGAAAATCCGAAGGCTGCCGGGCGGTGGTGGCGCACGCCTTTAATCCCAGCACTCGGGAGGCAGAGCCAGGCGGATCTTTGTGAGTTCGAGGCCAGCCTGGGCTACCAAGTGAGTTCCAGGAAAGACGCAAAGCTACACAGAGAAACCCTGTCTCGAAAAACCAAAAAAAAAAAAAAAGAAAATCCGAAGGGACAGACATGACTCAAGTTATGTTTCTGTTAGTTAGCTCCATCTGGATACTTTCCCTGTCACAGCAACCCATTAAGATTAGAACTGTAATCTTCCTAACAGTGCAGGAGATGGAGGCACACAGGCTTAGACCGGCCCTAAATGACTCACTCTAGGAGATGTGTCAACACTGTTGGACTGCAAGGCCCACCTCCTATTCCCCTACAGGCAATCACATCACGCTTAAGCTTTGAGAAGTCTGTAATTTCTATTTCAACAGCTCCCCCTGGAGTTGTGACAGAGGAAGTATGGTTCAATCCCAAGCAACACAGGGATGATAGTAGACATGATGGTGTGTGTGTGTTTTGTGTGTGTGTGTGTGTGTGTGTGTGTGTGTGTGTGTGTGTGTGTTCATGTTCTCATGCACAGGTTAAAAGGGGTGTACATGTGGGTTGGAGAGATGGCTCAGTGGTTAAGAGCACTAGCTATTCTTCCAGAGGACCTGGGTTCAATTCCCAGCACCCACATGGCAGCTCACAACTGTCTGTAACTCCAGTTCCAGGGAATCTGGCATCCTCACACAGACATACATTCAGGCAAAACACCAGTGCACATAAAATAAAAATAAATAAACTTTTAAAAAAGGAGTGCACAAGCACTTGTATGTGCATGCATATGAAAGCCAGAGGGCAATATTAGGTGCCATTCCTCAGAAGCCATCCACCTCATTTCTGAGACATGGTCTCTCATGCTGTGACCTTTTAATACAGTTCCTCATGTTGGGATTCCCCAGTCATAAAATTATTTTCATTGCTACTTCGTAACTGTAATTTTGCTACTGTTATGAATAGTGATGTAAATATTTTTGGAGATAGAGGTTTGCCTGTGGCCCACAGGTGGAGAATCTCTGGCCTAGAATGTGGGAGGTACCAATCCATGGCCTGAATAAAAAAGTGTCATGACCAGAAAGTGTCAGATCCCCTGAAGATGGAGTTACAAGTGGTTGTAAAGCCACCTGACATGGGTGCTGGGAACTGAACTCAGGTCCTCTGGAAGTGAAGTGAAGCCATCTCTCTAGCCCCTCTTTCTGCTTCTACAATGAAGATATAATGTGACCGGCTGCCTCAGGTTCCTGTTGCCATGTCTTCCCCACCATATGATGGATCATATTCCCTCAAACTGAGCCAAATAAACTCTTCCTTCCTTAAGTTACTTTTGTTAAATATTTATCACAGCAATGAGAAAAATAACTAATCTAACAAGTGTGTCTCCGAAGGAGCTGCCTCACCACTAAGTGCTACATTTCTGCCATCTGTTACCTCCACCTATCATTCATTCTCCACGCCATTAGTTCAAAAGCTTGTGTAACTTTCTCTGTTACTGAAAAGGTACCAACACTGAATAACCGCGTCTGCCCTGGGCTTGGAATCAGGTTGTCAGGCATGAGTGCTTCTGAGCCCTTTGGAATAAGAAAGTCTACATAGATTTAACACAATAATCTCTCATAAAAACTAAAAGATCGTAAGGGGTTATATTTTGCCCACCTAAAGTGTAAACACTGCCCTTGAACTTGAAACTGCTAGAAAAGGGGCAGCAGAAGGTAAAAAGTGGGTGGGAAATTTGGAGTAATAGAGAGGTCAGTATGATCGAAGGATACTATATGCATTTCAGAAATGGAGCAAAGCCCCTTCTGTTGTACAACTGATAGACTATTTCAGAGAGAACTTTCGGCCTGGGGGAATGGCTGAGTAAGTAAGAGTGTTTGCTATGCAAGCATGGGGACCTGAGTCTGAATCCACAACACTCATGTAAAAAGTAGGCATGGCATCTCCTGTAATCGGATTGGTAGCTACCCCAATTGTCACCAGACAGCCTTCATCTACTGACTGATGAAAACAGATGCGAAGATCTACAGCCAAGCACTGGGCTGAGCTCGGGAATCTTGCTGAAGAGAGGGAGAAAAGGAAGGACTGTACAAGCCAGGGGGGCCAAGGTCATCAGAAAAGAACCCACAGAAACAACTAACCTGGGCTCATAGGAGCTCACAGACTCTGGACCAACAGCTAGGGAGCCTGCATGGGACCAACCTCGGCCCTCTACATATGTGTGACACTTGTGTAGCTTGATCTACTTCTGGAATAGGAAGTAGTAGCAGTCCTACTGGTGGGAGCAGGGCCTGCCTGTAACTCCTTGGCTGGCTTCCAGAAACCTATTCTTCATACTGAACTGCCTTGCCCAGTCTTAATAAAGGGGAGGAGCTCAGTCCTACCTCAACTTGATATGCTAAGCTTTGATGACACCCATGGGAAGCCTGCCTCTTTCTGAACTGAAACAGAAGACTGGATTGGAGGTGGGGGGAGGTGAAGAATGGGAGGAGAGGAGGGAGGAGAAACTGCAGTCAGGATGTAAAATAAATGAATAAATTTAATTAATAATTTTAAAAAGTAGGCATGGATGAACATGCCTGCACCTCCAGCACTGAAGAGCAGACAGGTGGATCCTACAGCCAGCCTAGCCAAAACTGTGAGCTTTAGGCTCAGTAAGAGGCCATGTCTCAGGGCAATAAGGTAGAGACAAACAGAGGAGGACACTTGATATCTGCCTCGGCATGGCCACTGCAGGCCTCCACAGGAACACACACAACCCAACTCCCTCACATGCAGCGGTAAATCTGTGGGTGAGCCTGTGAAGGTGTTTATCGAGACATTTAAATGACATGAGAAGACACCCTGAATGTGATCACACCATTCCTCAGGCTGGACCCAGACGGAACAAAAGGAAGCTGAGCTGATCATCAGCACACCTCCCTCTCGGCTTCGCAAAGTGCCCTTAATGCCATGACAGACACTGCTCTCAAGCTGAGAACCCAAGGAAACCTTTCCTTTGTTAAGTTGCTTTTCGTCAGGTATTTCGTTACACCAAGAAAAGTGAAAATACATCGGTGCACAACAAATCCATATGCTGAAATATCACGCCATACAACATAAAATACACAATTATTATCTGCCCGTTTAAGAAATGGAAAAAAAAGACAGCAGTGTGCATTTGGTGTCTGGAGGAAGATGCTCTCATTCTGATATTAGAAAACATGGTGCACCCTCCCATACCCACACATAACACTTACCAAGTGGACCCGGAGACCCCTGCGAGGTATGTGACAGCATCCAACAGGCCAAGTTCTTTCATTTCACTCAGTACCCCAAGACAAGCGATGTGGGCCCGCAGCCCCCCACCAGAGCCTAGGACAGCAATGACTGGAGCCTGGTCATTAGAAGAAGGACAATTAGAACCAGTGGACAATGTAAGGAACAGGAAGGTATCCAAGGTCCTGCTTGGGTAAGGTGACAGCTGCCCCATGTCGCTGCTCTACCAGAGTAAGTCCATTCCTATGCTCATCCTGCTCATCCTGGACAAGTTGAGCTGCAAAGCCTAGGGTCAGCAGAGGCAATCCTACCAGTATGGCACCTCACTCCCACTTACCTGCTCAGCCTGGATGTTCAGCTTTTGCAGAGCCTCCAACACCTTGGGGCTACGTTTGTTCACAGCTGCCTTCTCTTCTTCCTGGAGTCCAGTGGCAAAGTAAACCCCAGGGCTTCCCAGGACAAAGAAAAACAGGAAACATCAGGAATTCCACAGTAAGTAAACTCAGAAATTAGCTAGAATTCTGTCCTCCAAACTTAGGAGCAAATGTGGTCAAGGGCTCTAAGTTTAAGGTGTATATCAGATACTGAAACCATAAACGAAAGAGCAGCCAAGGGTCAGCCAAGATGGCTCTGCAGGTAAAAGTGCCTGCCAACAAGTCTGATGAGCTAGCTGAACCACACAGTAAAGGGAGAGAACTTGTCTTCTGACCTACACATGTGCTGTGGTACATGTGTGCAAGCATACGTACACATATGCATTCACACACATACATACAAATAAACAAATAAATTAATTAAATGTAATTGTTTTAAGAGGGCTGGAGACACGCATGGCTCAGCAATTAAGAATGCTTGATGCCAACAGCCAGGAACTGGAAACAACCTAGATGTCCCTCAACCAAAGAGTGGATAAAGAAAATGTGGTCCATTTACATAATGGAGTATTACTCAGCAGTTTAAAAAAAATGACATCATGAAATCTGCAGACAAATGGATAGAAGTAGAAAAAAATCATCCTGAGTGAAGTAACACAGACATAGAAATAAGCATGAAATATACTCACTTATAAGTACATATTAGCTGTTAAGGATATTCACACTATAATCCACAGACCCAGAGAGCTAAGTAAAAATGGAGGGCTCTAGTGAGGATGCATGGATCTCCCTGGGAAGGAGAAATAGAACAAATTTTGTGGGTGGGCTGGGAGCAGGAGGGGATGGGAATGGGGGGGGATCAGGTTGGAGAGGGATGGACAAAAGGAGATAATATAGGAGAGACTGTTAGAATTGGGGGGGGCATTTGGGGGCAATTTGGAAACCTAGTGCAGTGGAAACTTCCTAGAATCTACAAGGGTGACACTAGTGAGGACTCCTGGTAATGAAAGATGCGGAGTCTGAACTGGTCATCTTCTATAACCAGGTAAGGCTTCCAGTGGTGGAACAGCAACCCAGCCACAAACCCATCAACCTACAACCTGTCATGCCCACAAGATGTGCTGGGCAATGGCAGCTCGGAACTTGTGGGAATGGCCGACAAATAACTGGTCTAACTTGAGGCCCAAGCCATGAGAGGGAGTCCATGGCTGACACTGCCTGGATGGCCAGAAACCAGAGGCTGAATAGTCCAGAGACCTAGGATAGAACTTAGAACTAAACACGTCTGGTTAAAAAAAAAAAAAAAAAAAAGTCAATGAAATTATTCCTAATGATATTCTGATATTCTGCTCTACTCATAGGTTGGTGCCTAGCCCAGTCATCATCGGAGATATTTCCTCCAGAAGCTGATGGGAACAGATGCAAAGATCCACAGACAAACATTAGGTAGAGCTCAGGGAACCCTAAGGGAGATGAGGGATTGTAGGAGCCAGAGAGGTTGAAGATACCAGAAGAACATGGCCCACAGAATTGACTAAGCAGGGTTTATACGTTTATGCCTCACAAAAACTGAGGCAGCGATCACAGAACCTGCATGGGTCTATGCTAGGCCCTTTGCATATATGCTGTGGTTGTTTAGCTTGGGGTTTTTGTGGGACTTCTAACAGTGAAAGTGGGGGTGTCTCTGACTCTTTTGCCTGCTCTTGAGACCCTTTTCCTTCTCCTGGGTTGCCTCATCCAGCCTTGACATGAGGGTTTGTGTCTAGTCTTATTGTATCTTGTTATGCTGTATTCAGTTGCTATCCCTGGGAGGCCTGCTCTTTTCTGAAGGAAACTGAGGAGGAGTGGATCTGGGGAGAGGGGAGATAGGGAGTAGGGGTACTGGGAGAAGTGGAGGGAGGGAAAACTGTAGTTGGGATATATTATATGAGAGAAGAATTTAAAAGGAAAAAAAAAGGTTTGTTGCTCTTCCAGAGGGCCCAAATTCAGTCCCTAGCAACTATATCAGGCTCACAACTGCTTATAACTCCAGCTCCATAGGATCCAACACCCTCTTCAGGCATTCAAGCATACACATAAATAAAAACAAACCTTAAAAAATTTTTTCAAAGGGCACACAATAGCTCATCAATAAATTTTGTCATGACATGCTGAAATGCCAAAATTCGGGATATAATGACTACAAACACCTGGTGGTCCTCAGTATTTTCAGGGTCTGCTTATGCAAATTCAGTGACCCTCTGAGGAACTTACAGCTCCACTAAAGAGGCAAAGACATTTTCTGGCCACTATCCACTAAACAAGACAGTGGAACACTGCTCCCACAGAACTGGCACTTACTGGGTACTGAAAGTGACTTAAAAAGGCCAAGAGGATGTGTAGGTCTCTGAAGATACCATGATGTCTTACACAAGAGACCAGACCTAGACCTAGGGATATAGGTGTGTGCAGGAGGTCTAGTGCTGGTCTGGGATCAATTCTCCACAGATACTAAAGAGTAGCTGCATTTATGCTCTTAACAGCATGGCAGAAAACAGTTCAGTGGTTCTCAAAAATGTTTGACAGAAGCTGGCATGGTGGTTTATGCCTGTAATCCTAGCACTTAGAAAATTGAGATAAGAGGATGTTGACTGAGGATCAAGGCCAGCCTGGGCTTCACTGTGATGCTTGATCTCAAGAAGGCAAAAGAGAATGGTAGGGACATGACTTATTCAGTAAAACGCTTTCTGGGGAAGCAAGAAGATTTGAGTTCAATCTCTAGCATCCAGGTAACAAAGCCAGGCACAGCAATGTGTACCTATCTCCAACTCTGGGGAGGGGAGGCTAAGACACCCCCAGGGACTTGCTGGCCATCTCATCTGCCTAACTCCATGAACAGCAAGTTCAGCATGAGACTCTTTCTCAAAAAATAAGGTGACAATCAATTGAGAAAGATATTTGATGTCAATCTCTGAGGTGCACACACACACACACATACACAGCCAACAAACAGAATTGCTATATGTACCAGAAATTTCACTCCTATGTATATAATCCAAAGCATTTAAAGCAGGTATTCAAACAAAACCTTGTACACTAACCTACACATGTTATTCACAATAACTAACAGGCAAACAAACCCTGTTGTCCATTAAGCAATGAACACAGAAACAAAACGTCATCTAATTGAGTGATGGTTTATCACTCAGTAATGGAAAGCTTCCTGTACATACTACATTGTAGATGGCCCTTTCAAAGGAAATTCTAAGTGACAGAGACAGACACAAGGTCTTATCATATATAACCACCCTAAGTAAGACATCGAGAATAGGATCTAACACATAGTTACAGGAGGCAGGTCAGTAGCTGCCTGGGGCTGGAGAGGGGGAGAAATGGAAGAGATGATTATTGGGTGGAGAATTTCCTTTTAGGGTGATAAAAATATTCTGAAATTAGACAGAGGTGGTACTTGAACTTCCCTGAAAATGTGATAATTGCTACTGGATTTGTTTACTTTCAAATGGTAAAGACGGTAAATTTATATTACATGTTTTACCCTAATAAAAAATTAAGTAATTAAGCTAAACTTCACCTGTTTGGGGGGTCAATATGATAGCATTTGCCTCCAAGTCTGAGGATCTGAGTTTGATTCCTGGGACCCACATGGTAGAAGGAAATTATTCCCATAGGTTGTCTTTGACTTCCACAGATATACAATGGCACATGCACACCCTTGACATATACACACACAAAAAAAAAATGAATGTGATAAAAAACATTAAAAGTTAAATTACACCTATGACTCACCGTATATGTGTATTGGATGGTTGTGATTTGGAAGACTCTTCAGGGTTCATCTTCCCAAATTCTTCAACTACTTTTAATGTCCGCTTTTTTCCTGTGGCACAGTCACGTCCTACTTTGTGGTGAGTTGATGGAGTTCTGAGGTCAGTATTGGTTCTAGCTGTGGTTTCTGTGGAAATGAACTTTGATGAATATTCCTTAAGGCAGGCAGCTCAGTCTACCAGGCCAGCCTTGCTTTGTAGTGATTATCTGATAAATGTCATGTATGGATTGAATTCAAATAGCCATTTTAAGAAATTGAGGTGGGGCACAGAAAAGAGTAATTGGGACCTCGTGGCAAGTTTGTTGAAAGCCTTTTAGAAGGTTTTCTGGCTTTGAAGCAGATGTTTTTGTCTCTTCAGCCATTGGCTCCTCAGCCCGGGAGGGCAGTGGTTCATTCAAACTGAGGTTATTGATATGGCTGCTGATAGGATGAGGCTAAGCTGAAGGACGAAGACATATTGTGCACACACTCCCTTCCTGGAGAATAGCCCGTTTCTCCTCCCCCTACACTCCACCTTTAACTTGGAGACTTAAAAAATCAGACTCCCTGGTGGACGCTGGGGAAGAGGCTCCATGTGACTAACTGAGTCCTATGGCTGGCTGTGACTCCTTGTCCTATCCCAATCTAGAAATTCCTCACTTCAGAAAGGGCGTAGATATTTCAAGTCCTTGTAGAGGTTGCTAGAAGACGGGCTGAGAGGCCTGACCTGTACCTCTCCAGCTTCCCCATACAGGGTCATCTACCAAAGACTCCTCCATCCTGTGGGATGAACTCATGAAAAGAGCCGAATTCCAGCAGACAATATTAGCTCTGGGGAAGGAAACTACCAGTTGAGAGTTGCTATTGCCAGTGATTATCAGTGGTGATATGATTCACAAGTCCAACACAAGAATTGCTTTTCCTTTCACTGTCCTGGGGTTGCTTTTATTCTATTTACCAATTGTTCCATCCCTGTATTACCTGAATTTTTCTAGCAACTTAGCTGGTAGCTGTTGTCCCCAGCAAGGACCCAGCTGCCTCACTGTCAGTGTGTCAGAGTACAAACAGCTCCAATGACACAAACACATACAAGAGGAAGTTTGGTAAAAAGGTTTTGGTACTTACAGACCCCAGGGATACTCCACAAGCCTCCAGCACAGAGGAAAGATAGATGGGAAAGAGTGGCAACCAGCAATATATACTGGGGGACTAGGTCGTGGGTTACTTCAACTTATCAGAGAAATGCCTGGGTGGTGCATTTAAAGGAAACCCAGCCTGTGGAGGGAGAGGAGAGGGGTGCTTTCTAGTTTTTATCTATGTTGCAAGCTGGCACCCTATGGGTGTGGTAAACGACTACCTGGATACTATCAAAAGTGACCTACCTGGAAATCTTGTTCCTGGGATTAAAGTTGAATATTAAAAACAAGTAGAAGTATAAGCACTCATGCTTGAGCTATGTTTTTTTAAATGAAGGTTTTATACTCAATTGCCTCAAAGAACATACAGGTTCTCCCACTTCTACCCCTGACTTCTCTGGTTTTTCAAAACATTATTGGATTTGTATGCAGGTTTTATTAAAGCTTTCAATTCCCCCACCCAGCTTTTCTGGGACAATAAAAACTTATAAACTTAAGGTGAAAATATGTTATTTTTGTTATAGTTGCCAGCAAAACTGAGATTACACTTTCTATTAATAAACTTTGTTCTTTTAGACATGACAGGGAAACTGCACCCATGAAATCCCAATGAAATGGTTGTCCAAACAAGGCTTGCATAATGAAAACTCTAGTTAACATGTAAATATGAATGGGGGAAATCTCACACGGCCCCATCCCTTGAGGAAGTGCTATAGGCAATATTAATGGCTGCCGAGAGAGAGAAGCAGTCTTCTCAAAGGTTGCACCAAATAGGTTATCAAACTCCAAGTTGTCAGCCCTAAGCACATGTATATACAAGCAACATTAAATAGACTCATTGATGTGTGTGTGTGTGTGTATGTGTGTGTGTGTGATTTATGTGACAATAATTATTTAAAAAGAGGTCAACCATGCACAGAGAGATGCAGCAAGAACTAGAGAGAGAAGATGGAGAGGTGGTGGAAATGATGTAAATACATTATTTATATTAAATTCTCATCTTTAAGAGTCCCTGATAGGTTGACCATGCTCCAGTGGAAGGCTACAAGTCCATGAACATACGAGCAACACAAATGGGACTTGATGTGTGGGTGGATAGGGAAGGGAGGATGAATCTGGGAGGAGTTGGGGGAAGGGTGAAAACACACTGTACAAAATTCTCAAACAACAAAGATGTTTTAAAAACTAAGTTCTGTTTTTTGACAATTCCATACGTGCATATAATGTGTTCTGGATCCCCCTTCCCCATTCTTTCATTTCCTTCCCACCCATGCCATCTCCCTTTATTCCTTACAAATCTCCTCCCATCTTTATTAGTTTTTGTTTTTAGTGTCAGCTACAGAGGAGGAAGGGGCTCACCAGGCCCTACCACTTACTCCTGATCTCTTGGCAACATTCCGGGAGAGAGGGTCACAGTACCCATTGCATACACGTTGCTGAGCACACCAGGCTCTGGCAGATCCCTGTGAGACTGTGTGACAGTCTCTGTGAGACTGTGTCTGATTTGACCCTTCTGCCCTCTCCTCTCCTCCTCTGTTGATGCCCCCCATCACTCAAATATCACTCATTCCATCTCACGGTCTTGTGCTCTCTCTCCATCCTTCCCCTTTGGGCCTTCTTAATGCCTTGCTCCTCACAGCCATTCTCTTGTTAGCGCTCTCAGCATCTGCCCTGTTCCTCCTTTCTTCCTTCTTTCTCTCATCTCTGTTCTGTACTCAACAGAACCCTGAGAAAAATGCAGACCTGAGACCAAATGTTGGCTCCAGTGACCCAGTGATAAACTACAAGTCCCTGCCTCTTACAGTTTCCAGGCAAAATGTCACCACAGGCTCCTGTTTTTCAGTATTTGGTTCCCAGTTGATGCCACTGTTTTAAGAGTGTGTGGAACTTACAGGACATGGGACCTAGCTGGAGGATGTAGGACCACCATGCTGGGTCTTCCACACTGCAGGCCAGCATCCCTTCTGGTCTAGCTCTGTGCTTATTGGGAAGATTAACAAGCTGCACAGTGAATTCCAGCCCCCTATGATGAGGTCACAGCATCATGCCTTCCCTACCATGGTGGGTTCATATCCTTAAACAATGGGCCAAAGAAATCCTCTCCTTCTTAAGTTGCTTCTGTCACAGCTATGAGACATGCAGTCTTTGAGATCAGATCCCTCATCTTGACAGTAGGCAAATGACTATGACATTCAAATGACAATGTGGAGCCTGTCCTAGGAGACAGCAGCATGCTAAGAATGGCCCCCACCCCATTGCTCCAATCTCTCCTGTTCACTTACTCTTCTGTTTTATTTCTCTTCCTCTCTCCTCCTTATTCTTGGCCAAACACAGCAACTACATAGGTGACATAATTGTAGAACAATGTTACTCCCAGTTAATTTCTGCAGAAAATGGTTACTTAACTCGCCAGAGTCAGAGGGCCACTGCCTGTAGATAAGGACGTTACTCCATTAATTCTGCAAAAAAGGGTTACTTAACTTGCCAGGGTCTCAAGATCATTGCCTATAGAATGGGGATGTTAGTTCATATTGATTTCTCAAAGTCTTGAGGTTATCATCTGTAAATTGCAGACAATGTCATCTGTCTTATGGTGTGTTTACATAAGATATAAGTACAATCATTTACAAACTACCTTGCATACAGTAAGCAACACCTACACGTAAATCATTAATCTTATCAGTTATTACCAGGTGACTGTAAAAGTCAAACATGGAAAATGGACTGTTGTGAAATCTCCCTTCTATTCTCTGCTTACTTGGTTTTTGATTTTGTTTTGTTTTATTTTGTTTTGTTTTAAGGAAGGATTTCTCTGTGTAGTCCTAGCTGTTCTAGAATGCCACTCTGTAGACCAGACCAAGCTGGCTTCAAACTCAGAGATCCGCCTGCCTCTGCCTCCCAAGTGATGGGATTAAAGGCGTGCGCCAACACCACCCAGTCTCTCTCTTATTCTTAAGAACCTACATTTTCTCTCCCTTCAGGAAATGTATCAATGCTTTTCTCATGTCCTTCCAGAATTAACATGGAAATTAACAAATAGCAAATGTATAACACTATAATATACATACATACACACTATATTCAAATACACATTACCTATATGCACTATATGCACATGTATTTGCTATGTATACACTATACACATTTACCACACACACTACATATATACACTATATATACACACATACATACACTACACATGTACACATACTATAAATGTAAACTATACATATTATTTACATATATTCTACACATATACATACCATAAACACATTTACACACACATATACAACGATATATACACCCCTGCATATTTACATCTATATTATATGGACATATACCACATCTACACTATATACTTACATATATACTAAATGTATATACATGGATATACTATACATTTACAGGTATATAACATCCATACACAGCTTCATAGAATATATATCACTACATATTTACAGAAATACACTTATATCTGTATTTATAGATATATATATATATACATATATACAAACATAAACACAAAACACATACACTATGCATTTACATATATACACTATATATACACATATATATCATATATGTACATATCGTGTGTCTGGTGGTGTGCTACTACACATTTAACAACTGTCATTCTGTAGCAGGAAGATGTTACCTAACGACATCCTGGGGTAGATTATGACCACCAGTTTGATAACACAGACACCTGGCAATTGCAATATGTCAATAGTCAATAACTGCAGCACCTGGCAATTCCCATGGCGTCAATAGTCACACCACAGGTGATTTCAAGCTTCCATCACGAGGACTGTGGAATCAGGAAGAGGGGGCAGTCAGAGAGGAGGAAGGAGACCAGTAGGAGCAGGTAAAGGAATGGGGGAGGGGAGGGGAGGAGAGCAACAAAAATTTTGTATAGAAATGTCACAACTGTTTTGAATGCCAATTTTAAAAACATCAACTGTCCCTGAGGGCCAAAGTGATCACACTTCAGCCCAGCACCTATGATAACACACACACACGCACACGCACACACACACACAACGGGGGTCTATGTGGGAGAACATTCACGAAACCCATTAGGGGTTTTAAAGTCCTTTTATCCTTAGGCGAGGGAAAGTACAAAGCTTAGGTTAGGAAATATGGAGGACTGTAGAACTCTAGACACTTGTCCAGTGGTCCAGAATAGAGTGTGGGAAAACTTGGCGTCTGGTCATCTACTGATTTGGCACAGTCACAAAGCCTAAATGGGCCCGACAGCTGCCAGTTACTCATATTTTGGCACCATCCACCATGAAAGGGAGGAAAGAGATCAAAGACATCCCAGAAATGCCAGTCTGCATTGATAGTTTCAACCAAGCACTCCTCAAATGATTAACCAGGGCTGCTGGTCAAGGGTGGGGTTAGGATTTCTTAGGAAATATGCTCAGCAGTGTCCCATGGCCAAGATCTGCGACTGACGCACACTGGCCTCCAAAACCAGCTTTCTGTATAGCCCATTACATGTAAGTAACACCACAAGTGAAGCAAGGGGCTTGATTTGGGTTCTCCCTCAGTCTCATTAGCACGACATCAGCAACAATGGGATTCCCACCCTGCATCAATAATAGAACGGAGCTAATTCCTCCCTTGTCAATCCCAAAAAGTATGTCTCTAGCTTTACATTAGTTTGCCACACCTTTCTACTGAATCATTGGAAATATTTATCACTTTCAATAGCTATGAAACCTGGAATTTCCATTCAAATGATTAATGGTGAGTTTCTCCTGCTATTTATATGATTTCTTTAAGCCAATTTCTTTGTGATGTTTTTTTTCCATGGTCTTTGCTAAGACTATTCACAAATGCTATAAGTCCTATTACAAACTAATTATTCAAGATACAAAGAACTCATTTCATAGGTTTTAATGGTGTCCAGGAGCTAGAGGCAGTGATTCCTATTTCCAGCCCCCTCCTTCCCATCATGCTCCACTCCTGCCAACAAAACCTATTCCAAGTATGGGGCATTGTCCGAAAGCAGTGAATATAAAAGGGCCCTCCTCCTCGGCTTCTTTGCAATGAAAACCTTGAGGCTACATGTCAGCATAAAAAAATAATCTTTTTTTTTTTCTAATGGAGTCTCAGATTTTGACAATTTAAAGAAAATCCTGAACATGTATTCCCAGACACGTTCATTTTCCTGTGTTCCTGACTGCTATCCCACTACAGTCTGGGTCACCATTGTGTCACCCTGTCCATCTCCTCAACTTAAGTCCATTTTTGTATTTACTTATCTAATTCTCATGACCCTTTGTGGTGACTTTTGTAACCACAAAATATGGTGTTTTGTTCCCATTTACAGAGAAAGAAAAGAATCAAAGGGAGTGACTTGTCAATATAGCATATTGCCACCTACTCCACATGATCAACACTGTACATCATTCACCCAACTGAAATTTCATACTCACATCTACTGCAGGCACAATTATCGACTCATATGTAAGAAAACCAGAGTTTCAGTGAGGTCACAAGAGTCACCCAAACTCTCCCTCCACAGGCAAGCAGCCAAGCCATGTTTCATGGGAGTCAAGAATTCCTGCTCACCCACAGTAGCAAACAAAAGATGGAACCAGCACAGAACCCCTGCAGTTGCAGACACCTCATTTTTGACAAAGATGCCAAAAATATAGAGAAGTGGGCTCTTCAACAAACAGTGCTAGAATAACTGTGAATCCACATGCAAAATAATGAAGCTAGATCCCTACCTCTCACCTTCTACAAAGGTATGTTCCAAATGGATCACACATCTTTGTAAGGAAAATGAGGCAGAGAAGAGATAGACTCCATCTCAACAGGCTGAGACTGCCTTACTAGAACAGCAAGGGGCCCCAGCTTTTCCTAAGGATGAAGGTTGATTGCCTTCACAGGAGCAGGGGACATGTAGATATACATAGATGCCCATAGCTCTTTTTGTAGTTTGACTGGGAACAGGGTGAGTTGTTTTCAATACACAGAGATGAAGCTGAACGGTCAGGCTTGGGCTAAGCAATTCTTTGTGGCTTGGGGCTATTGTCTAATACACCCTGACTCAATTCCTCATAACCTGAGGCTATTATCCAACAATCATAAGACCTGAAACTCATGTTAGAGGGGAAAATTAGGGTAATCATTTCAAGGTACAGGGAATAGGCAAGGACAGTCTAAGAATGGTTCCAGATACTCAGAAAATAATGCCAAGAATTAAAAAATGGGATTGTAAACTTTTAATGCTGTGCACAGCGAAGAAAGAGTTGAGTGAAAAGAAAGCCTAAGAATTAGAGGAGATCTTTGCTAACTGCACTTCCGATTGAAGAGAGCATCTAAAATATGTAAAGAACTCAAAGAACAAACACCAAGACATCAAACCCAATCAATAAAATGGGCAAATAATAAGAACAGTTTTCAAAAGATTAAGTATAAATAAACAAGTAATTAAAAAAAAGTTCACCACGTGCTATTGGAAAAATGCAAATTAAAACTACATTGAATCTACCTCACTCCAATCAAAACAGTAGTCATTAAAGAAACCAGATAATGATGAGGAGTCAAACCAAAGGGAACGTTATCAAGGTTAATAGGAATGTAAATTTGTCCAGGCACTATAAAAATCAGTGTGGAATTTGAGGAAATTCAAAAAAATAAAAAATAAAGACAGATCTACCCTAAGTCCCAGCTATAACACTCGTAGGAACTTTACTGAAGGGCTCCACAGACACATGCACAGTGTCCACTGTAGCACTAGTCATATCAGCTAAGTTATGGAACAAGCCTAGGTATCCATCAACAGGGGAACAGATACAAAAAAAAAAAAAAAAAAAAAACGTGGTCTACGTGCACAAAGAAATTTTATTCAGCCATAAAGAGTAATTTCAGGAAAATGGCTAAAACTCCAGATTATGAGATAAACTCTCGGGCTCATAAAGGCAGTATCACATTTGTGACTCTTAGATTTTATATAGGGAAGAGGTAGGGAAAGGGAGGGTGGGGTGGCAGGGTGGGGTAAGAAGAACAAGGTCAAAGTACATCATATAATAGTATGAAAATATTTTTATGAGTTTTCAGGACTGTGTTCAACGAATATATACCAACTAAATAAAGGGCCAGCAAGATGGCTCTGTTAATAAAGGTGCTTGTTGCCAAGTCTAATGACCTGGGTTCATCCCCTGGGACCCAAATGGTAGAAAGAGAGAACTCCCCCAAGCTGTCCTCTGACTCCCCCATGTATGCTATGGCATACATACAAATGGATGACTATAGTAAAAATAAGTTCTGCTGGGGGTGGGGGGGGGAGTGAGACTAGACTCAGGCCAGAACATTGAATTACCGTTTTCAAAGAAAATGCTTTAAAAGCATTCCCAATTTAAACCAGTGTTGACCCAGCAACTTTCTAAAAGCCAGATAATGGCAAAGTGTAGCGGTGCATTCCTGTCATCCCAGCACTAAGTAAGCAGAAGGGTAATAAGTTAAGAAGCCAGCCTGGGCTACACAGCAAGCCCAACTAAACAAAACAAAACCAGACAAAGGGCCACCCTCACTCATGTCAGTATGCACAAACCTGAAAGTCTACTAACTTGTCATCCTCCAAGGACCCCGTTTCCACAGCATCCTGTTGATTCCTGAACCTGACTGCCCCTGACCATTGATTCCTAATCTCCTTGCTTCCCTGGACCCAAACGAGGTCAACGTTTACTAGCTAGCCCGTTCCTGTTTCCATGTGATAGCTCTACAGTCTTCTTTCAGCTTCTGAATGCAAAAGTAAAGCTCCTTCTGTCTTCAGGGAGCTTCTGACTCTAGTGGAAGGAGGGCATAACCTCTGCTATCTTGCTCTCGAGAAAATTGGCCTGAGAACAGTCACCACACACCCCTAACTTGTCACAAACTGGGTGTTCCTGGCAGCAACATGAGCTGTTGCTTTGATTCTGTTGCCAACTTGCAGGCAAGGTGTTGGGCAGTAAGCCCGGTGCAACCATTTCTTCATGACAAGCCATGATAGGGGGCAGTGAAGGACAAGCTCCCAACAAATGAATGGCACTTGGAAACAGCTACTGCTCCCAACAACTATCTTTGCTACCCCTTAGACTCTCAGGCAGCTGGCAAGCTCACTTTTTTTATTAAGAGATTTTCTATTCATTTTACATACCAACCACAGATTCCCCTCTCCTCCCTCCTCCCACCCCCTAGCCTTTCCCCCCTAATACCCCCTTCTCCCCACCTCCTCCAAGGCAAGGACTCCCATGGGGAGTCAGCAGAGCCTGGTATATTCAGTTGAGGCAGGTCCAGGCCCCTCCCTCCTGCATCAAGGCTGTGTAGTGGTCTGGAAAGCCCATAAAGCCTATCTTCAGGTCAGCATTTATATCATAGCACATAGGAAGTCCTCGGGGTTTGAGGGTACCAGCCAAATCTCAATCCACTACTTGTTAACTGAGGTTTATAGCAAGCAACAGTATCCTGATGAGGGTAAGGTTTTCTTTTACTAAAAGACATAGAAAATAATTGTACCAATAGAATAGCTTCATGGGAGGGGGTGGATGAAGTTATGCATGAGACATTTAAGACTAAGTCTGACTCATTTCACATCCATATGGAAAAATGTGGTGAGTTCCACTTACAGTTGGGTGATTTAAAAAACTCCTTCCCAGTATAAAACACTTCCTAGCAACCTTAGCTAGGTTGATCACGTGACTGAGATCTGGTCATTCTGAGTCACCTTGAATTAGGAACGCTGCTTCCAGTTCTTCAACCTCCCACGATGTCCTCAGACATATACCTAAACCACTATTCTATAATCTTCCCACCTAGATAGGCTGTGACAACTTTCAAGCTGAGCAGGGTTTCACTCTCTGGGGAACATTCACGTGCCCAACTCCAGGCTTGTTTCTTCAGTGTCCACATACATCAGCATGACTCCTTCCTTGAAGACTTGATTGTAGCAGGTTCCATATTCTCATAGGTGCACACAAGGCCCTCCTGGCATACTTACTGTGAATATGTGGCCTGAAGCAGATAGCCCAAACAATCCTGTCTCACCCACCCCATCCCACCACCACCACCACCACCACCACCCCACCCCCACGCCCCCATCACCCAGACAGTAGAGCACGGTGCCTTAGGATCTTCACCTGTTAAATGTAGATCATTTACAAATTAGTGGAGCTCACTGGTGAGAATATGAGAGGGAAATCACTAGCAAGGCAGGAAGGCAAAAAGCCACTTGTTCAGGCTCCGGCTTGCACAACAGTCCCACTAGGACTGTGCTGGCCAGGGACCATACTGACACCTGTGCTTCAAGCTCCAACTTGCCTCACCTTATTTCACTCTTATAACAGCCCAGGCAGGATGTCAACTGCAGCAGCAGAGACCCCCAAAGACATCTGGTTTTGTCTGTATGTGCGTGCTCCTATCGGTGTATTCACGTGGATGTGCATGTTCACGTGTGTACTTAAGTATGCTCAAAGGGTGTCAGATGTCTTCCTCAATCACTCTCCACATTAGTTTTTGAGGTGGGTCTGGTCTCACTTAAAATCTAGAGCCTGGCAATGCGGCTGGACTGGCTGGCCCAGTGAGCTCCAGGGACCCTGCTGTCTCTACTACCTCTGCTGGGATTACAGGCACACAGTATGGCGCCCGGCTCTTTTTTTTTTCCCCCTTAGTGTGAGTTCTGAGGCAGCCTGGACCCAGGTCCTCAAGCTTGCATAGTAAGCACTTTACTGACTGAGCCGTCTCCCCAGGCCAGGACAGCTGCTTTTAAAGGGGTTTGGTGAGGGCTGGGTATCGGTGGAAGTATTAAGGCAACTCCATGTAGTTAAAAGGGAGGTTTATTTTGTGGGGTAACTTACAAGTAAAGGGATAGGTTACAGGGTCTGGGAAAGGTGGAGTGCTGTTCAGTGGTGTTCTCTGGAGAACTCTGCTCAGTCTACCTCCAGTGTCCAGGATTCAGGAACCAAGAGAGCTGGCACATCCGGATCTCAGGTCTTAAGGGCTCCTGTCTCAGGCCCGCCTTGTAGGTGTGACAGTTACCGAAGCCTCAATGGGGGTAGTACTTCCAGGTCAAAGCTGGAACAGCTACCCACTACATCTCCCCCTTTTGTCTAATAAGAAAGTTCTAACCTAATGCAAAACTATATACAATAGGAATGATTATCAAATATTGTCCAGGAGGAATAAGGGATAATGACCTAGACAAGATGGAACTACAGCCAACACAAATATCAAACAAGAGACACATACTAAAATCCAGAGACGTCTGGAGCATGGGTAAATGGCACGTTACACAGATCATTCCAAAAGGTACCCTATCCTGAAGCACCTGAATCTAATACTTAATATGTTCTAGCTAAGATAGAAGATTGTAATTCATTTAGACTATAATGGATAATTAAGAAATATAGATTAATAATTGGTCTTCTATGATGGTCAAACTTATAGTTACGTTAAGTTTTCTAGGTATACATAGATATAATTCAATTAGGCAGGTAATCTTCAAATACTTCAAAGATCTAGAGAATATGGCATTTTAAATGTTTTAAAAATTTAGACTTTCTGGACAGTGAGACATGTCTGTTCCTGGCAGCACAATTTATTTCAAAGAAAAAGATGGGCATCGAAGACACTCCATAAGGAATTTATCTTCTTCTTGGCAAAAATAACCATTTGGACAAGAAACTGTTCTTGCCTAGACTGCTTGACAAAAACGTATCGACTGGACATGCAGGACCCATAGGAAGGTGACCACTGAACTTTACAAGGCAAAATGGTCCTTCAGGTTCCTGCTTCACAGAAGAAACTGCCAGACACTCTACAGTACACAGAGAGAAGTGACTGAGAGACTCTAGCTAGGTCTGTGGGCTAAAGATAGATGCCCCAACTTTACAGAGAAACTTTGGATGACTGTCCAGGCAGCCAGCTGTCTCTGTCATTCTAGATTTTTGAAAGTTGCTTACAATGCACTTCCTGTTTATTGAGGTAATAGTGTATCCTTCTGAGGTGTTTGATGTAGTTGAAGACTAGATAGTTATAATTTCCTTAGTTATGATAAAAGGTAAGTTAGATATGAAACAGACTCACAAATATAGGATAGAATATCTTCTTTAATTTTGCCAAATACAAATAGACTAGATATTATAATGTAATTTTACTATGTTAAAGTTAAAACCTCCCTTTTGGAAAAAAAAAGGGGGGGGGGAGTGCTATAGATATCACTCTGTATGCTGTAAATGTGTTGCTCTAATTGGCTAATAAATAAAGTGCTGATTGGCCAGTAGCCAGGCAGGAAGTATAGGTGGGACAAGCAGAGAAGAGATTTCTAGGAAGTCAGGGGTCACCAGCCAGACACTGAGGAAGCAAGATGTGAAGGCAGGACTGAGAAAAGGTACCAAGCCATGTGGCTAAACATAAATAAGAATTATGGGTTAATTTAAGTGTAAGAACTAGTCCATAGTTAGCCTGAGCTAATGGCTGAGCAGTTTTAATTAATATAAGCCTCTGTGTGTTCACTTGGGTCCAAGTGGCTGCAGGACTGGTGGGTAAGAGAGATTTGTCCTGACCATGGGCCAGGTGGGACACAGGAAAACTTCAGCTACAGCTGGGTTCTGTGTCAACGTGACACAAGATATGGTCACCTGGGAAGATGGAATCTTGACAAAATGCTTCTACTAGGTTGCCTGTAGGCAAATCTGTAGGGCATTTTCTTAACTGATGATTGATGTGAGAAGATCCTGCTCACTGTGGTCAATGCCACCCGTGGGCTGGTGGTTCTAGGTGCTGTAAGAAAACAGGCCAACCAAGCCAGGGGGAGTGAGCCAGTAAGCAGCACGTCTCTGTGGCCTCTGCATCAGTTCCTGCCTCCAGGTTCCAAACATGACTTCCCTTGTTGATGATGAAGTGAACCTATAAGCTGAAATAAACCCTTTCCTCCTCAAGTTGCTTTTGGTCATGGTATAAGATAGGCTTCACTGTGCCCCACAAGAATGGCTCTAGCTGTGCACACCTGGACTTTGCCTATTTGTCTACCCTCCTCCTGGTCCACGTCTCCTCCAGCTGGTAGCCAGAAAGCTAGCTGCTACAGGTCCCTAAAATCTGCCAGGGCCCAGTTCTTTCTGGAACCATCTCAGAAAAGCAGAGCTTTCTAAAAGATTCTCCCGCTCATCTTAGGAGCGTTTCTATCACATCTGCCTAAGTTTTGCAACATGTCTGTGTCTTCTCCAGCTTCAGGTGACCTTCATGGGACCACAAACTAGCTAGGGCTATCTGCACCTCTGTGAGAACTGCAGTCCCTCCTGAAGCCCTGGAGGGAAGGAAAGGGATACTGGGGGAAGACTAACAGAGATGCCTGGTCTTTGGTCATGTGCCAAAGGAGGCTGGCACTCAGCTAGTACTTCTGATCACCTGCCATATACAAGATATGTCCAGGGCACAGCCATAAGCAAAGCAGCCACAGTCACTACCTGATCTTGTGGAGTGAAATGCTACACTGAGGATTCTGAGGTGATGTCTGGTAATAAGATGGTGGGTGACACAAATGGGAACCACACACCTGGTATTGAACCACTGTCTCCCAAGAGCATGGGGACCTTGTTAGGAAGATGTGGGACTGCCTGCCTGTCAGCCCACTGGGTTGGAGCCGTAAGTGCTGGTGCTCTTGGCCAGGGCACTTGGTGTCCTCACCTATATTTGCAAAAGGCAGCACGACAGTGTCAACCTGCCAGAGTGCTAGGAGTTCAAAGAAGTTAAAACATGAAGGCTCTCAACTACTGCTATTCAATGATTAGCACTGACCACATGTGGCTATTTAAA